GTGTGTTCAGTGGCCACAGTCCACAGTTCAGTGGATGCTGACGGACCAGCCTTGGAGCCAAGAGTCGGCTGCTCTTGATTTACCTGACCACGAGTGGGGTGTGGAGCACTTACTGGAGGCAAGGGGTTCTGGCTTTACACGCCCCAAAGCAACCCCCTTTCTCCTTTAATATGCAAGTAAACAAGTCCAGTTAGGGGGCCTCCCTGGGTCAGGTCACGGAAGTCCGGCCATGTCCCATGGTGCATGTTCGGGCACCAGCGAAAGGCAAATGTGGTGTGGTGGAAGCAGGGGGCTGTGCACGGGACTCAGGGGTACCCGGTCTGGAGACCCCTCGGACCTGTGTCCTCGCAGTTCTAGGGCGGGAACTAGGGCCGTTTGGTGTCTTCTCTGTTAGAGGACACCAGCAAACAGCCTTCTGAGGGGATGGCTCAAGCGAGGCCAGGCCCAGGTTGCTGGGCTGGCGGGGTGGGGGCGGGGTGCAGTTGTTAATGATTTCACAGTGACCTACAGCTTGAAGTGCCCCTCTCTGGAGAATGTTGTCAGAGGAAACCCTAAAGGTATTTATTAATCAGACTCAACGGGCACCAACGGTTTCCCGAAAACAAATAGCAAATAGGGCGCTTGGCCAAGTCCAGCGCTGGCCCTGGCTGTTGGTGGACAGCTGGTGAGTGGGGTGCCCTGTGGGCAAGGAGTGGTTTTAGTTATAAACTGGCCTGTGGGCTATTTTCTGGTTTGCAGATACCCCACTGCAGTCCCCAAGTGAAGGTAAAATAGAATCTCCTCCCAGTGTGAGGAGGTGCCAGCCTTGACTGCCTCTGTAAGGGCTGGGGAAGGGCTGGGTCCGGGAGGCTTTCCACCCTCAGGGTCCTCACCCTCTCTGATCCATATCAGCTGAGAATCGTGAGTTTCTTGGAGTTTGGGAAGATGTCAGATTTTTTTGCATATCAGCTATTTTATATTATTACTTTTTATTTATGATTTATTTTTATTTACTTATGCATTGAAAAACTGGAATGTGGGCCAGAGGACTCTCCAGAGACAGAGTGGGGAGCAGAGCAGGCAGATCTACTAAAAAAATCTTATCGCTGAGGGCAACAGCAGGGAGACAGGAGAGGTCATTGCACCCTGTGGGTCCCTCCCTGTTGGGGATCGAACTCAGGCGCGTGGCTGGCGATAGCTTGATAGTGCTGGGAGTACACCCTGCGCCACTGGGGGCCCTGTCAGATATTTTAAATGTGCCTTTTCAGTCTGAGTACAATATTCTCTCTTTCTGGCTCCCTTCGCTCCCTTCAGAAAAGTTAGGAAAGAAATTTGATAGCATTTCTCAGAAACAGAAATGGAAAGTTGCCTCACAGTTCAGTTTTAACTAATTGGTGCTTTGAACACGGCAGGTCATTTAAGGCTTGGGGCTTGGCCTGGGGGACTGCATCGGGAGCTGCCCCTGTGAGGCCTGTGGGGGTTGGGGGAGGAGGGCACGAAGGTCATGAAGGGGGCTGGGCAGTAGGGACTGGTGGGGACTGTGGGTGAGTGCGGATTATACACTCTCCAGACGGTTCAGCGGTAATTGCCTATGGAGGGCATGGCCAGGCTACCAGACCAAACCCCACCACCAAGACGTTTCGAAAAATTTCTACTAGTTGAGTTTTTTTTTTATTTGCAACTAGTTCAAGAGGAAAAAAATAATGCCTTCAGATCCAAACAAAGCTCTAGTTTGTCACCTCTAGACCTGAAGTTCTGGGCCAGGGATGACCGGGGTGACTTCAGCAACTTAATGTGAGTGACTTTAAGTTAGTGCTTGCTCATGTTGCTGGTTCTGGGGAGACACGCATTAGTGTTTGCTCAGACTGTCTGGGGTCAGGCGTGTCTGTAACGGTGTGTGAGGCCTCGTGGCCTCTGTGGCCTGTGCTGACTCTGAGCACTGCCTCCCTACACTGGGAATTGTGCTGGGGCAGATGTCCTACCGCTGAACTGCTGCCTGAGCCCGGTGGCCACCTGAGGGCACCGGGCAGCACTTACCACAGCGTGTCCCCCCCACCCCTGCCATTGCTGGATTTGGGGGGGGGGTCAGAAGCATTAACGCCAAGCTGCTCCAAAACATGTCTCTGAAGCGGGCATGGGCCTGGGGTGCCTGTCAGTGTGCTTGATCCTGGAGAAATGTCACTGACAGACTTGGGAGAAAAACAGGACAGGAAACAGTGGTGAGATAATGGAGAGATAAGGGTGATGGGAATGCAACACTCACCTGCATCTCTAAGACAAAACAAACCTTAGGGGCATTTTAGGCTGGAGGCAAGGAGGCTGCCACCACATAGGGGTCATGCTGGACAGCAGCCTCCACCTCGGCGGGATGGCCTCTCAGAGAGCAAGAGGCACACCTCCCCATCTTGACCTTTGTAGTGGCTACCCTCCGAAACCCCCAGGGTAAGCCCTTCCCTGGTGGTCCCGCCCGCCGGAGGCGGTGGGCCATTGGGACAGCCTTCAGCCTCCTCTTGGTCCGTCTCAAGCCCTGAGGGCTGGAATAGCAGTTACCAGACCTTGGGGTCTCAGTGGGTGCACACCCAAGGAGAAGCTGAGGAAAGTTGGGCTTCCCAGAAGCCCAGAAAAATAATGTGTTTTCATCTAGGAGGACGGCCAGGGTCCATGCACCAGTGTCAAGCCTCTGGCTGCATTCCTAGCTTGGGCTTGCTGATTCTTGCCCTGTCTTCGCCCCAGGCGATCCCCTGACACCATCTTAACAGCAGTGTGGGTTGCCGTGAGTCACTCTAGGTTGATTTCTGGTCACCGGGTACCAGTCCTGAGGCCCCGCCTGAGTGACCAACACAGAGGCTGTCACCTCCAAAGCACAGCCCTTTAATTTATTGCCAGTCCTAATCTCTAACTGGAGGAGACATAGCAAATTGCATACGGAAGTGGAAACACCAGGAGCTGCATATGGAGGCGCTCCAGGTTTTGGGGTAGGGCCTTTGAGTCTAAAATGTGGTATTTAAATGGAGCCGTTCAGCTGCCCACAGCAGGCAGGCTGCCCCCAGTCCGCCTCCCATCTTGACTCTGTCATTTGTTCTAGCAACTATTTGTTGAGCACCCCCACCATGTAAGAGAGCTAGATGCCAGGTTCCAGAAAAATACAAAGAAATAAATGACCTATCTTGCCTCATTCTGAAATGAATTAACAGCACCTTAACACATTGGTGCAAAAGATAAATTTAAAACAGGAGTGAATGGGGTATAAAGGAGATTTAGCTGGAAGGAAGGCCAGTCCATGCTGCAGCCGCTCAAAGTCCCGCTGTGAGACCTGGGCCGGACCACAGCTTGCCTCTGCGCTTCCGGGCCAGCCAGGTGATGGAGGCGACACGCGCTGAAGCACCTTTCATACCTGCTAGAGAACTGCAGCCCAAGGGCTCTGAGGTCATCCCCAGCACCGAGGGCTGGAAGAATGTCCTCTCACATCCTTGTGGACATCATCAACTAGTGAGTCAGTCATGTTCTTTTGTATGTGTATTGTGTAGAAGATCTGGGGTATGGCCAGAGATGTTGGGGGGGGAGTGAGAGGATTCCTCAGAGACAGAGAAAGTGGGGAGCAGAACAGGTGGACTGACTGAAATCCACTGCTGAGGGGAGCAGCGGGGAGACAGAGGTCTGCCGTGCCATTTGTGGGTCACTCCGGCTGGGGAGGACCAAACTCTTGCTGGGATGGCTGACAGTAATAGCTTGATAGGATAGTGCTGTGTCTTTAACTCCTGAACCACGAGGGAGGCTCCATCACTGCTTTTTAAAAAAAAATTAAATAGGGCCCTCCCTGGTGGCGCAGCGGTTAAAGCACAGCACTGAGAAGCTGAAGCCACTTCAGTATGAGTTCGATCCCCGCCCCGGAGCTGACCCAAAGGGTGCAGCAGACCTCTCCTGACCCGCCCACTGCTCCCCTCAGCAGTGTACTTCATCAGTCAGCCCGTTCTGCTCCCCACTCTGTCTCTGGTGAATCCTGTCACCCCCAGCACCTCTGGCCAGTTCTGTATGCACAAATAAATAAATAAATCTTTAAAAAAAAAAAAAAGCTTGTTTAAAAAGAGAAAAAAGTTAATGAAATAAATGGGAACATATTGGAGTCTATCATGTTGCTGGAATAAATGTGTAGCAAAGTGCATTTTATGAAATTTGTTTTTAGGGTGTGTCTACAGTGTTGTGATATAAAATGTAACCTCAAAAAATTTCCCCTTCGCCTCCCTCCAAATCAGTGATACTCACCAAATGGAGCTTCCAGTATCTCATTGCCCGACAGGGGACCCCCAGATGTGCATGAATAAAAATTTCCTAGGCAATAGGAAGCTGAGTGGCACCACTTCTCCGGCTGAGGATGCATAAGCCTGTTGGTTCAGGAGAAGCCCTTCTGGACAGGGAGGGCGAGAGCCAGCGAAAAGTGAGAGAATAACAGGTCATGGAGAGAACCTGGTGGAGCCCAACAGGCCACGGCCGGGAGACCCCAGAAAGAGGGCAGGCTGGGAGGACCG